TCATTACATGCATACTCGGTCAAGGTTATTTGCCAAAAAATACTAACCATTTTTTTAAAAAAATTTTAGAGCCTAGTTGAAGTTTGTATATTATTGAAGTCTGACGCACCTCTTGCGCAAGTGTCGTGCACATGCGTCTCTGTGCACTTGCGAGTGCGTGAAAGTGAAAAAATTAATGCAAGTCTTGTGCACTTCTTGTACAAGCATCTTGCGCCCGAATCTTGCAGCAGATTGATGTAAATTTGTGGAAGCAGACCGAGCATCGTCTTATGCAATTTACTTATGCGTGTTTGTGCTACCAGGATAAGTGACGCTCCTCTCATCCCTTTGAGAGTGAGCTAGCCTCCGAAATTCTCCGTTGTTTTACTTCTTCCCTCTTTTCTTATGCCTTTTTTGTCCTCTAGGGGAGTGGTCCTCACGGATCTATCCCATATGAGGAGATTAGTTGTTAGTCGGTAGGCACTCCGGGTGAATCCGATACTACCATAGGATTAGCTGGGGTATCTATGAAGATTTTTCCCTGCTCGCTCTATCAAACAAAAAAAAAAAATAAATAAGGATTTGTTCATTTTGGTCCTATACTTTGAAAAGTGACTCTAAGTTAGCATTTCCAATCCAAAAAGTAACTTGTTTAAACTGATTTTTGTTAAAATTGCGACTATGGTGCAAATGTGGGAAAAAATGTATGCAGTGAAAACTCACTCGTCTTTGACGATTTTTGGTGTAACTAAGGTAAAAATCTAATTCCCAATAGCTAGAGTAAAGCCTTATTTTTTATCGATGAAAGTAAATAATCAATTATTTTAATGAAGGGGTCAATATATCAGTATAAGACAATATATCAAGTAAAGTGGACAACATTTAACACAATTTAACGTTTTTAAAGTTTTAGATTTCATTACGGCATGCGAGTAAAAGTACCGGACACGATTTGAGAAAGTTACGGGAGAATCACCCGTATACGTATTGTTAGTTTACAATCAACAGTGAGTGATATTTTTAAAGTTACATTTAGGTATTCATTTTTATACGAATTGATTTATGAAGAAATTAAATATAATTCGTTCAAAATAAAGCATCACTTTTGTTTAATTATAATACAATGTGTATTTTTTCATATAGACATACCTATCTATACTTATAAATTGAAAGGTGACTAGGTTACGTCAATTGAGGCAGCATACTTAGGGCCTACCAAACGCTCCCTGACGCTGCCAACGTAGCTCTCTTTCGAAAAGCATGAAAATAAGACGTATACCATTAAATAGATTTTCATCCGGTAAATCCAATGATATCTTTATTTATACCTACAACCGGCCAAAATCTCGAGAAATTGTAACTTAAAGTTTCTATAATAAACATGGGGTCTCATGGAAGAGCATTAGACAATGAGTTACGCGTGCATTTATCTCAAAGAATTGGAATTGCACCGAAGTCACACTAAAACGCACTTGTAGAAAAATCCTTTTTCTTTCCAATGCCGTTGCGCAAAATGAGGGTACTCCAATATTTTCTCGAGATATTTGCAACGAAAAAGAGTAAAAATTAATTTGACGGTTATGTACCAAGTATAATTCGTAGCGTTATGGGATATATATTACAGCCTCGTCAGTAATCTGCTGTAGTCGGTCATGTTCGCTCGAGGTTATATGACCGTCAAATCCCGAATATATACATGTTGACAAGGGAGCTACCTTAAGTAGATTCCACTGACCACCTACTTACAATTTATGCACTCGGGCCCTGTGCCCAGTTACTCTACTATGATTTTAAACTTCAAGAAATAGGTGAAATCGTAATTTTAAAAAAATATCGGAAGAAACCCTTCTTTTAGTAGTAATAGATATGTGGATACATAAATAATAAGCTAAAGTACATGAAAATCTGTTGAGGAAGTTCGTAGATGCCGTTAATCATATACGTATGCATGTTATGAGATTATATATACGCGTGCATTTATACATCTAAATACATGCATGTATATATATATATATATATATTTGTACAAATATTATCCTGGCAGCCGGACAACTCTTTCTTCTTTTTTTTCCACCCCTCCTTCCGATGCACCGCGGCCCACACACGTGACAATCTTCGAGAGACACTCCGTAATATGATATTGCCGTCTGATACAATGAAATAGCG